ATATATATATATATATATATATATATATATATATATATATATATATATATAGATTTTGGCATGCATAGATAAAAAAAAAAAATAGGGACAAGCTTGTTGACATGGTCCAGCTTTTGAAAGAGAGTATGATGATGCATTAAAGATGAACGATCGAGAGAGAGAGAGAGAGAGAGAGAGAGGAGAAGAATGCTTCTTGACCGACTTCGAGTAGCATTGAGAAGAAAAATTGTTGAGAAGTTTTCCATGGTGGTGGTGGTGGTGTGTTTGTTTCGTTTTTTTTTCTTTTTTTTTTTTTAAATCTTCCTTTATTGTTTGAATATTTTCTTTTTTTTTTTCCTTAAGATGTAATTAATCTGAGATAATTATAATTATAGTAAAGCTAATATAACGTTAGTTGATTAATTAAAGTGATAACGTTTTTGTTCAAAGTTCAAGTAAACGCAAGTATATAATTAATATAAAATAAATGAAATTGCAATTTAGTCGAGATCACGTGAAACGATGAAGTTTAATCGTGATTTTTAATTTTAATTATGTTTACGCAAAAGATTTGCAAACTGGATTAATCTTTACACTTGTGATTTACGTCTTTTGAAGATTGTTTTTACTTTTTTCTAAGAATTGAATTAAATTAGATAGGAAGTTAGAAATAATTTTAATATTGACAAACAATATATCAAATATATACAATTTTGTATTAATTTAAGATTAACATATAGTTTATATATGTTAATAAATTTTGTTTCGTCAACGTGTATTTGAAAATGTACTTTAACGTATCAGATTGTTAACAATGTTGATGTTTAGAATATAAGCACCGTGTGATAATTTGAAATCACAAATGACACTTGACAATACTCATTCTTTCTCTCTCTCTCTCTCTCTCTCTCGTATTTTAATAAGATTCGCATAACTTTCATCCCCACTCTCAAATTATAAGCTAGTGTCAGGTTGGTTGTTAAGAAAGAGAGGCTTGTACACATTCCGTGTTGGTTGCGCAACTTACTTATGGTATGCACCACTCGTCGTAATCCTAATATACCGACTCAGGTGTATATATTTTCATTAGAACAAGAGTTAAGGATACGTGTTAAATTCCGAGTAACTTATTTAGAAAAGACCAAAGACTCATGGAAGATAAAGAGAGAGAGAGAGCCTACTTTAAATCCTTGATCTTCTTAAACTGTCTAACTAAAGTAAGCTTCCAACTTGTTTTCATTATTCATTTATTTTCAAATGTAGAACAAACGTGTATAATAATCTCATTCTGTCAAGTCTTATCTTATTACGATAATCAAATGTTTATTTACATATCTTCTTCTTTCTTAATATATATAAATTACGAGTCACGTTGTTTGTCCGCAATGGACTCTTAAATTACTGAACTGATTTTAATCAAATTTTACACACTGTATGCAGTTTCATCTAACTTGAAAGATAGAATAGTTTATATATCAATTTTATAATCGCAATATTATTTTATTGTCAATTATTTGTTTATTAACAAAGCAGTCATGATTATCTCTGTTAGTTCGATAAGATTCTAACAGATGGCGATATAAGGTAATTCGTTGTTATTATATATAATGAATAATAAATTGTAATTAATTATTTAGAAATATAAATTAGGATTTTGTGTGTTTTAGGTCGAGTTAACAAGTTTCGTTTAATAATTTAATGCAATAGTTTAACAACAGTTTCATATTTTGTATCATATTGTAATCATTGTTAATTAGATTTATTTATTAGATGCATTTTTAATAACTTCTACATTTTCAGATCAAATTTTTCAAATTCAAAATTTACCCGTTAAAAAAAACTATAACTTTTTACTCGACTGAACACTTGGAGGAACACGTGGACAATTGAAATGAAAGGAGTATTGGAATACCTTGTTTTTAGGACACCGGATAGATTTCCTATGCAAACGACAAAGTTCAAACGAAGAACTGTTATCGATGATACTACTCGGACAACAACAACAACAACAACAACGTTGCATAGAAAATCAATCGTTACGTTTATCGATCACGTTTGACCAATTACAACGTATGTGTATGTAAAATATAATTCAATATGTTTACGTTTTATTGGTTCAATTTAACAATCTCTCTCTCTCTCTCTTTCTCTCTCTGGAACCTAGTCGAATATTATAGTATTTTGTATCAAAATGAAAGAGAGAAGGATAGAGAGTGAGTTTATCATTTTCAAACTTATGTTCAATGTTTCACGTGTTGAAATATTTAATATTAAATGTTACATATGTGTATGCATTCCATGATGGAAGAGTGCAACTCAAATTGTTGTTGTTGTTATTATTATTATTATTATTATTATTATTCAGGGAATAATGTAACTTGTATGAAATATTCGAGAAATAATTTAAATATGTTGAAATAATTTAATTTATTATTATTAAGTATGTACACACAGAGAATAGTTTTTAAAAATTCTTTTTTGTTTTTGTTTTTGTTTTGTTTTATTTTATTTTCTTCTTTTTATTTTGTTGCCGTTTCTACTGAATTTTCTTCATCGAGAGAGTTTTCAAGTCGAGAGGCACACGTTCTCTTGGCATTTCTTCCAGTTTCAGGGTGCGCCAACTCTCGTGTACGCGTGTCCTGAAAGAAAGAAAGAAAAAGAAAGACAAAGAGAAAGAAAGATAGAAAAGACACTAGCAAATATACGCGTTGTTCAATGGCGTAGCAAAGTTTGGAAAGTTTAATACAAGTTGAATTTTTGTTTTATTATCTATAATTTTAAAATTACACCAATTATTATAAATTTACTGTGAGGCTCACAATCAGTCCGATACACACGTCTTTAAGTCAACGAATTACCTTATATCGCCATCTGTTTAGAATCTTATCGAATTAACAGAGATAATCATGACTCTTTGTTAATAAACAAATAATTCGATTATAAATTGAGATATAAACTATCCTATCTTTCAAGTTAGATGAAACTGCAGACAGTGTGCAAAATTTTAATAAAATTGATTCAGTAATTTAGGAGTCCATTGCGGACAAACAACGTGACACGTAATTTATATATATTTTAAGATATATGAATTTATTATGAGGATAGATTAATTAAATAATATATTTCTAATTAAATMAATAAACTTATTAAATGTTCAACTATTTAAAGTAAGAAATAACAGAGACAATAAATAATTCAATTAATTATCCAATAAATCGTGGAAAATTCTTACAATTTTTTTTCTTATGTTAAATTTAATTATTAAC